AATTGTATGGCCGTGGATGGAGTGTCCTAGGGTCCTGATTTGCCTTCATCTTGATTGCACCTTGAGGGACTGCTTTGCTTTTACTGGATTGTTGAAATTTGAAAAGATTGGGGGATGGAGGGTATTCAACATTAGTTGTTGTCTAGTTCGTAGTGTGGTGGGGGGGCAGAATAATGCCCTCTCCCTAGGTGGTGCCCATGCTAATGCCAGTGAGGAGGAAGCAGAAGGCTAGCTAAAGGACAAAGCACAGGCTGACTTCCTGAGCCCCTGACCTCCCACTCCTGGGTGAGATCTCTGGGACAGTTCCAGGAAGCTGCCAGCAGTCTTATTGGTAATACCAACTATAGAGAAAAACAACTTTAACTTGACAATGCCAAAGGCCTCTAGGATCTTGAAGGTCCTCTTTAGCATATTCTTTTGAAAATCTCCTTTTCTCCCAACCCCTAATGCCCAAGTGTATAATGAGCTTTGGCTCCCAACCCCAGGGCAGCAGCTCTTTCAGCCCAAGGGTCCTGTCCCCATGTTTTAGTAAAACCAACATTTTGCACCAGAGATGTTGCAAGAATTCTTTCTTTGTCATTGGATCCCGACCTCACTCCACCAAACCTCACCTGTATTCCAAAAAACCCATCACCAGGAACCTGTGTACATGTTCCATCAGCAGCAACAGGGACCCTGCAGAGATGCTTATGTTAAGGACATTGAGATAGGGAGATGATTCTGGATTCTCCAGGCAACCCCCTGAATGACAAGGGGGTCTTAAAACTGGAAGAGGCAGAGAAGGTCAAAAGGATGCTGGATGAGGAGGACTCTCCCTGCTGGGGCTGGGGCTAAGCATGGAGGAGGGGCCTCTAAAAGCTGGAACAGGCAAAGAGACACACTGTCTGAAAAATACAAACTGCCAATTATTTTACCAGCAAAAATGAGACTTGTCGAGAATAAAAGGGAAAGGCGATCAGGGATAAACCAGCGTTGGCAAATCCATAGGCAACTCCAGAGAACAAATGGGAGGGACGCTCTTCTTTTTGGAGGAAAGGGGTCAGTTGGGAAGATTGTTCTAAAAGTCCATCGGGGTGAACTGTGAGTTGGAAGAGAGCTGGCGTCTCCCTGGGGGGACAAAGCTAGCATTTCTTACTCTGGCCTGGTTAGTAGAGGCCTATGCCTGTGCAATGTCAAGTCCCTGTAAGGTCAGATCAGTCCCTCCCCTGGGGCTGCAATGCCCTAAGAGGTAAGGAGGGCAGAGGAGCTCCCTTGCTAAAACCTTGGGACTGCATTTTAGTGTGGTTTCCCTTGACTAATTTCCACCCTCTCCTAGAGCCTCTAGAAGGGAAGGTGCCCTGTGGACATCTGGATTTTAGTCCAGTGAGATCCTTGTTGGGACTCTGCACCCTCAGAACTGTAAGATAAATATATATATCTATATATCTATATAGATATATATTATATATATTCTTTTAATGTGCTCCATTCATGGTGACTTGATGTCACAGTAAGAAGCATCTAGCTCATTCAACTCAATGGTAATGAGTTCTGGGGAATACGATAAATTCTGTACAAACTCTGCAGGTTTTCTGTCTTAGGTCCACAGGTCAAGAGCTAGTTTTATTCGTGTTTATGTCTTACTTTTAGGTACCTGCCAATGTGATGTGGGCCAGGAGCGAATGGTCAAGAGGCTTCTTCAGGGCAAAAAAAAGGTGTTTTTATTAAAGTTCAGGGACAGGACCCCTGGACAGGAAGAGGTGCCCTGGGATTGTGAGGAGTGATTGATCATATACTGTATGTTGGGAGTGGAGGGTGGAGATAAAGGCATTTCCAAAGGGATTTTTAGGTGTTATCAGAGATTTCATGATCCTAGAGGTCTGGCTATTTTCTAGCTAAGGTTGCTTTTTGCCTCTAGCAAAGCATTACCGTTAGGGTACTTGTGTGTTCCTGGAGGACATCCTGCTCTTTCTGTCATGGGCTGCAGGTTGTAAGGAAATTTACTTTTATTTACATTTCACTGGCCTTTGCTTTCCTCATCACCTGCTTTTTTTTTTTTTTTTCTTTCCATTCTTTTCTGTAGGATTCACAGTCTGTTCCCTGCAGGGGCTCAGCCAGGTTCTTATGGGAATTATGCAAAGTGGAAGACATTGGCGGCCACACAGAAAGATATTTCAAGAGTGGGCTCTGTTATTCTCACAGGGAGGGTTAGTACATAACTTACAAAGAAGTGAATATTGGACAATGTTCCCATCAAAGGTACATTTTTGTTGCAACGAGTTCTCTTAAGGCACAAAGCTACTTTTCAGCCTTTCACAAAGGGTGAAAAGCAACTGATCTGTGACTGGATCCTGAGCGGAGTGACATCATACGCTGTTGCTTTCCTAAATGTTATGTACTTAAAGTGAATTTTGTAGAAGCAGTGTCTGAGTTCTTCACTGATTACTGACTATCCCTTCAGAGTGCAGCAGCCCTGGTGGCAGAGGGATGGAGGAGAAATCGCTGGGATGCTGGAATAAGCACAGGGTGGCATGGTCTCATGCTTGGTTTCTTTGCCTTAATAGCTTATTGACTTTCATCCATTCAGCCGATTGGGCCATGGAGTTCCTCTGTATTGACAGCCAAAGGCCTTCGTGGAAATACTTGAATAACAGAGCAGGAGAGCAGATGTGGAGTCACTCCATCGACTAATAAAATAGAGGGCATCCCTACCTCAGGTGGGAGTCTTTTTTTGGGTCTTTTTGTTACTGGTGGCAGTGGTGGTAATGGTTGTCAGATACTATTTGAGGATTTTGTTTGTTGTTGTCCCTGGTTGTGCCTCTTTCTAGGAAATAATTGTGGAGTGATAGCTTTATAGTAATTCTTGGAAGGCAAAAGGACATAACTAAGGACTCTTCCCAAGGAATATTTGCAGATCTCTGTGCCAACATTTATGGAAGGACTTACATGCTTTTCAGTTAAAGGTTATCAATCAAAGTGAGACAAATCTATTTATACTTTTGGGTCAATGTTGGAGAACAACAGTTTTAAACTGTGGTCTGCATCAGAATCACCTGGGGTAAGATACAGATGTAGTGAAAAGAAGGGCCATCTGTACCCCAATATTCATAGCAGCAATGGCCATGGTCACCAAACTGTGGAAAGAACCAAGATGCTCTTCAATGGATGAATGGATAAGGAAGATGTGGTCCATATATACTATGAAGTATTATGTCTCCATCAGAAAGAATGAATACCCAACTTTTGTATCAACATTGATGGGACTGGAGGAGATTATGTTCAGTGAAATAAGTCAAGCAGAGAGAGTCAATTATCATATGGTTTTGCTTATTTGTGGAACATAAGGAATAACACGGAGGACATGGGGAGATGGAGAGGAGATGGGAGTTGGGGGAAATTGGGGAGGGGAGATGAACCATGAGAGACTGTGGAAACTGAGAAATGATCTGAGGGTTTTGGAGAGGAGGGGGTGGGAGGTTGGGTGAGCCTGGTGGTGGGTATTATGGAGGGCACGTATTGCATGGAGCACTGGGTGTGGTCCATAAACAATGAATTCTGGAACACTGAAAAGAAATTTTTTTTAAAAAGGCTAAAAACAAAACAAAAACAAAAACAAAAAGCTCTGAAACCCAAAAGAAAAAAAAAAGAGAGAATCACCTGAGGTATTTGTGTAAGAAATGCAGATTCTGGGGCCACACATCAATGAAATACTTGGGATTGGAGCCCAGGAAGTGGCTCCTGTGATCTCCACTGCTGATTCTAAGGCTCCCCAAACCTAAGAACCACTCTCTAATATTTTTAGATTGGGGATTCTTACAAAATGGCAGAGAAGGCAAAACTCCTTTTAAGCGTAGACCTCAACAGTATAGTCTATGACCTTCTTAGGGACAGTGTGTCTTTCCTACTCTTACATGCTCAGCCTAAAGACTGGTGTGGAAATCAGAAACAGAGCAGGTGAGGAAAACCTTTTATTTCTTTGTACACATTTTACTTTCATAGCCACCCAAAGGACTGTGTTTCATTTCCTCTAACAGACCCTGTCCGCCAGTTATGTTGCCCTCGACAAATTACTATAGCAACATATATAAATATCTATCATACATTTATACACACGTACACACCTTCTAAAGCACTGTCAGGACACAGACTAGGATTTCCCACAACTGGGGCTTCTCAGGTGCCACTTAAAAATGATCACTGGTGTGTCTTACAGGACTTTCTTTTTTTTTTTTTTTTTTTTTTAAAGATTTTTATTTATTTATTCGACAGAGAGAGATCACAGGTAGGCAGAGAGGCAGGCAGAGAGAGAGGAAGGGCGGGGGGAAGCAGGCTCCCTGCCGAGCAGAGAGCCCGATGCGGGACTCGATCCCAGGACCCTGAGATCATGACCTGAGCCGAAGGCAGCGGCTTAACCCACTGAGCCACCCAGGCGCCCCGTCTTACAGGACTTTCAATGGGCTTGGGCTGGCCCTGAGCCCAAGTTTCCTAGAGAGGAGTTAGGGTGATGAAAAGGAATGGCGTATTCAGAGTGAGGTGGCCACACTTCGAAGATCATAAAAGAAGGGGACTAGGAGGTGCTAGGCTAAGCAGGAGATGGCACATGGGAAGCCACTGCTTTCACCAGGAGCATTTGAAGCACTCAGGAGCCTCGGTGTAGACGGATGCCCAGCAGAACGGTGGCCGGGCTAAGCCGGACCCAGGGAAGGGTGGATCTGGGAGTTGTGTTGGCTGAGCCCCACTGGCCCTCAGGGCACTGCTGTCACTCGTGGGCTTCGGAAAGGGCTGAGGAACTCCTGTTTGGGGATCAGGGGTCCCATCTGTAGGAAGCAGGGTCCTGTGTCCCCTGAGCTGACCATCTGAGGGCAGGCGTCGGAGCGAGGACTGGCTGCAGCCAGTTCCCAGGCCAGTGAGTTGCACAGAAGCAGTGTCAGGACCTTCTCTACAGACTAGTGCTGGGCTGAGCAGACCCTGGTGGGTGGTGTTCCTCAGCCACAGGAGAAGCTGTCTGCCCTTCAGGAGGAGGATGGGACCCTCTGGCAGGTGTGGAGGACTGGGCTCCAGGTCTCCTCAGCAGACTGGGATCTGCACCAGAGGGGGGCAGGCCCAGTCTTCCTGCTGTTTGAAGGACCTCCAGTGGCTCCTTTTCTTCCGTGGCTCCTGGAAGGCAAAGGTCACAAGCCTGGGGTGCACAGCAGTGCCCTTAGGGACTTCACCTGGAGACAGAAATACGACAAGGTGAGAACCTGGTATCAGGTTCTGCTGGTGGCTCCCTGAGCTGCAGTGAGCACTGGGTGGGGGCTGAGCCAGGAGCTCAGTGAGAACCTGTCAGAAGGATGAGCCCAGGGGAGGGGGTGTGGACCTGAGGAGCCCCTGGTGCTACCAGGTGAGAGGGAAGCTTCCCCACCACCTCGGGCAAGTGACAGTCCCGCTCAGAGCCACTGCACATGAGATGCTCAGATCCCACACTCCCTCTTCATGCGCCAGTCCACTCCCCAGTTCACTTGGAGCAAAATGATGGCTTCTGTGACTTCGCGGGAACCGAAGTGCTTAGTATGAAACATGCCCATGAAGAAACAGGCTGTTGTAGGAAGGAGAGGACATCATGCAGGGAAGTCCCCTGCTCAGTTCATGTCCCATGTACTTAATGAGGAGAGGGAGGGGCCCCATCAGCAGGGACCTCCAACAGCCCCTAGTGCCACCTCTTACAGATGGATGGGCCAAGGCCACAGAGCCGGTTAGTGACAAGCCTGGGATTGGAACGCAGGCCTCAGGCCCTTTCCATTGGTCTCTGGGAAGTGCAGAGGAAACTTCCAAACATGGGGAAGCCAGTGGTTGTGTGGGGCAGGAATAAGGCTTTACAGAGGCCATCTTGTATGTGTTCTTCTAAAGAGGCTCAAGAAAGAAAGGAATCATCAGAGAAGAACAAAAGGGAATTAGGAAAAAAAAAGGGGGGGGAGGGTGAAGTCATGGCCCAACCCATTTTCAAGCCATGGGATCAAAATTCTCTTAGGAACATTCCTAGGAATAGGTCCAATTGCTTATGGCAGAACTTTAATGTCCAGTGAAGGGTTTAGTTTCTTTCCCTATTCTTTTTTAAGGAATCTCCATGGCTAGCGTGGAGCCCAACTCAGGGCTTGAAGCCACAACCCTGAGATCAAGACCTGAGCCAAGATCAAGTCAGATGCTCAACTGCCTGAGCCACCCAGGTTCCCCTAAAGGTTTAGTTTCTGATTTACAAGCCATTTGGTACACTTCAGCTTACTTGCTAGGGATCGGGTTAGTATTTCAAGTAAATGTACAGAATACCTGCCATATACACAAAATGTTTCCCTTCAAGTTTCATTTTTATTTATTATCAAATTCTCTTTTAGGTCAAGAAGACCCAAAGGTTGGTTTCCTTTGGAAAAAGAAAGATCAAGATTGAATGGCTATTCTCTGCCAATAGAGTGTGCAACAGAATCAACTGATTTGATGGCATCTCGGGTTTATTTTTTCATGAAGTGAAAAGGGCTACAGGAAACACTAGAGTGGCCCCAGAGCCCCTTTCCTAGAAGATAATTTAGAGGCATACTCCCCATGTCCTCTGGTCTTGGGAATCAACTCACTTGCTTTCCTCGGACTCCTGACTTGGCCTAAAGGAGGGAAGAAGTGCGGTGAGGAGAGAAGAGGGTCACGATGTCACAGGGAGATGAGATGGCACGGGAGGGACTTGGGTGGGAGAGGTGATGGGGAGTGAAGCTAGAAGAACATTTATTGAGGAACTGAATCCTAGGAATGAACTGGAAATCTCCTGAAAGATCAGAGTGGGTCGGGGATCATCTGCAGACTCTGGAGACAGGTGGGGATGGATTTGGGCTGGGTTCTGTGGCTCTGGCAGGTGCAGTGGTGTCCTTACCTCCAAATTAGTCCTTTCCTTCTTCAAAATATCATGTGTCCTGGTCACTAAAACAACAAAACAGCCCAATAGGTAGAAGTGACCATCTGGGGCCATACTTGTCTACTGTGTTCCAAAGGGGGTCTTTCTGGCAGCTCAGATCAGGGTCTCCTGCTGCCCCATGCATCCCTCCCTCTGCATCCCCAATTATTCATGGCACAGGAGGTTTGGGGACATCACACTGGTCTGCAGCACTCCTCCCCACCCCACCCAGTCTGTCTGGTCAGGGTCCATCGGCAGCACAAGTGGGGAGTCTGGAAGTCTTCCCACCCCTACTTTCCTCTCTCATCCCCTGGCTCAGGACTGACTGAAGATGAACTGCTCCATGCTTTCCTTCTGCTGGTTGGCGGTCGTCAGACGCTCCGCTGTGCTCTGAAGGATGCTCTCCTGTCTGGACAGTCTGGTTCTCAGTTCTAGAAGTTCCCTTTGCAGGGACTGTCCCTGGGGAAGGGAAACAGGCTCTCTGTCAAAGGTCAGAAGACTTCAAGCTCCCCACGCTTTGTGGCTCTTGAAAATATAAAGCAGGATTCTATAATCCTCTCACAATGATTTCTGGACTGGAGTCCCTCCAGGAGAGACACTAGAAGGCTCCAGCTGAGGCCAGCTTAGACCAAGGCCATTAGGTCAGTACACTGAGACCCTGGGAGCCCCCATGCACATGGACACGGGCCTCCATTCCTGTGGCTGTAGAGGCCCTGATCCCCGGGTAGTGCCAGGACTCCCAGCAGTGGACCAAGAGCACACATTCAGCGCTGACATTGGTTCTAGTACCCGGGCCTCACAGATAAGACTTGCTAGCTGGGCGTGTTTTGCCCGGGGAGACAGTGTGCAATTCTGTAAATCTTCGGAGCAAATTAAAGATGGCAGAACACCCTCTGCCTCAGACCCGGCATAGTTGGGGCCCATAAGGTGTTAGTGCTTTAATCTGGCCTCAGGCTCCTAGGAAGGGCTGGTGGGGGGAGATGGAGAAAATTTGTTGGTCACACTCCCCCTGACCAGAGTCCAGGCCTTATATCTGAGAGCACCTGGTGGTGGGGCGGCTGACTCTTCTGGGCCTGGCCCAGGGATGAGGAAAGCTGTGTGTGGGATGCAGTGGGTGGCTCCAGGAAGGTGCTCATCTCTTGGTGACATTCTGTGGGGATGGCGTGGGGAAAGGGGATGTCGACATTTTCACAGGTCCCTACATTTTTCGGCTCAGCTAAGTTCAGAAAGTGAAAGAACCCAAACACTCCTGGTTGCTGGGGTTCTCACATGTCTGCCCTCTTCGTATTCTGTCCTTCCCTCTTTGCTGGTGGTGGGAGGAGCCCTGCCAGCCACTACCATGGACAACAGGTATCCCCCCCGGGATGCTCTCCTAAAGCCCCCCTGTCCCAACTCAACTGCCCAGCTCCTGACCTTTAGGACTTGGGAACTGAGGAGGCAGAATGGCATTTGGGGCAGAAGTGATGAAGGAGGCTGCCACTCACTGTGCTGTCAGACAGGACAGGGCTGGGGGAGCTGGGCAGGGCCGCTCGCCAGAACATGGTGAGGAGGGAGGCCGACTCGTCCAGCGTGTGCTGCAGGGCCTGGGCGCTGCTCCCAAGTTCATGGATGCCTTTGCTGCCCGGCACCTGGGAGAAGGGGGAGATAGCCCTGGGCACCAGACTGAGAGATCATTCTCTTCCCCCTGCTCAGGCTCCCCCAGCACAGGGCTCAGGTTTCCCTCATGTGTGAGGCACAGGCATGGACCTGCTTGAACCTGTGAAACCGTTTTGAAACCTGGAAGCCCTGGATCTCCACTTCAGCAGTGACCTCCAACTTGTAAGAATCACTAGATTCTGACTTCTCTCATACTCTCTGTAAGCTGCTAGTCCTGCTCCGTGCTCTCGGGTCTAAGGTCCCTGATTTTTGCTTTGGCACCCCCATGCGTATCTCTAAATCATACCTCTGCTTCAACTGGGCTGAACCATTTGTAGCTCCAAGGACTGCGATGCCATTCCCTTTACCTGGAATGCTATCCTCCACCACCCAGAGAAGCTGTGTATCTTGCCAGTGGTTCCTCTAGAACCCTGTGACTTTCCTTGCCTGGCCCAAGGACCCCTTCTGTGTTTGCACCGTCCCAACTCAGAGGATGGCTTCCGACACTGAGCCCAGATCCTCTGTTGTCCTTATTTACTTGGATATGTGGTCTTCTCTCTGGGGTGGAGGCTCTTGCAGACAGGGCTGTCCCTGCACATCCATGCATCTCCAGTGCCTCAAACAGCACAGCAGCTGGTACCTGGTCTCTGAACAGGGAAGCGCTCTGAGAAGGTGCGCTGCCCGCTTCCCTGCCCTGCTCAGTCTGCCCAGAGAAATCCTATGGCTGCCAGGGTTCACCCCTTCCACAACATGGGGCCTGTGCGGATGCAAATCCTGAATTTCCAGCCACCTGATTAAGTGATTTTACTCTGCCAATGGATGACCATGTGCCAGGGTGACTGGATCAGATAATAAGTGAGCAAAGGGTACTCAGTAGAGCACAACACGTAAACCAATACTCAGCAAATCCCCTACAGATGAGGATGACAATTCTCCTCTGGCTCTTCTGTGTTTCTGAGAGGAAACGTCAGTCAGGGCAGAGTGTATAGTGAAAACAGGAGATGGAGAAGAAAGGCCCAGCTGGGTGTAAGCAGAAGATGTAGACTCAGCTATGGGGGATATGCAGTGGGAGAAGGAGCTAAGATCAGAAGGAGAAAGGGCACAAGGAAAAGGAGCACTTAAGACCTACATGTGACCACAGTGTGATTACCTCTGTGCCCTGAGTTTCAAGGCAGGCTAATCTCACAAGAGCTGCTATCTTTTTGACCAGCAATTTGCCCTCCCCTATCTGCTGTCTTAGGGCACTGTAGTCGTCAATGTGGCCAATGACATGGCAGCCATGCTTATTGGCAAAGGAGCCATCAGTAGCTTCACCCTCCAGCTTGAGAGGTTTCTTCATCACTGGAGAAGCATCCAAATCCAGCTCTGAAAAACAAGACCCCAACAACATAGAATCCACAGTGATAAGCATATCCTCAGTCCACCTCATTCTAAAATAGACATCAAGGAGTGAAAGAGGCCAGGAATAGGAAAGGCACTCTGGAAAAAGTACAGTGAGGTGTGAAGTCCATAGATTTCTGGGCTCTATGGTTTTATGATCTTTTTTACATCATCTCATAATGATCAAATTGCCAGGAGGCAAAATTTTATCCTTATTGACAAATGAAATATCCAGGACAAATATTATTTTAATAAAAAATTTTAAATTTCCAGTTAAGAAGACAGACAAACTAAGGGTTCTGGAAGGGAGGGAGGGGAGGGGTTGGGAGGGCCTGGTGGTAGACATTAAGGAAGGCATGTATTGCATGGAGCACTGGGTGTGGTGCATAAACAATGAATCTTGGAACACTGAAAAAATAAAATAATAAAATAAAATAAAAATAAAAATAAATAAATAAAAAATAAACCCATTTAAAAAAAGAAGACACAGACAAAGAAATTAAGCTGGACACAGCACTTTCAAGGACGGAGAGATCACTGCGCAGTGAAGCACAACGGAGCAATAGGAAAACCACAGGAGGAAGAATAATGGCAAAACAGGTGGCCACAGAAGGTGCAATGAGTAGGACTAAGGACTTTGGGACCCAAGGAGAAAAATCTCTACAATCAGGTAATGTGCCCATTAGTAACTAAAGGCTACTTGTATTGGTAATTTTCCATCATCAATACCTGACTCCTTCCATTTCCATATTTACCATTTGTCCTCTTGAAAATGGTGGTCTCTGAGCCAGGAGCAGCGGCAGAAAGGCTAGGGAATGTGAGCGCTGGAGAGTTCATGCCAGCTGCTCAGGCTGGAGGGAAGCAATGGAGTCTAGGGCATAAAGACAATAACTATTTTCAGGAACCCTGGAACCACCACTAACCAAAGCCACACACAGCCTAGTTGTCACCAGCAGAGACCTAAGGCAGCATGGTTTGTCCTCATTACACCCCAACCGTGACGGTAAGCAACAGCAAACAAATCCCTTAGTTTGGAACAAGAACATGTCCTTTTAATGGAAGCAAGCTCCATGAGAAGCAACTTCTGGTTTGAAAGATTATTAGGTGCATTTTTCCAGCCTGCATTTTGAATATAATTATGTGTGCAATTTTTAGTACACTGCCTTGTAACTAAACCCATGATGTGGAGAACAAAGGCAAAAGGAAATGTACATCAAGTTAAATTTCCTTATAACCTGAAGTCCATTGATAAACATTTGAGGCAGGTAGAATAAGACATTACAGGAACCCCAACTGTCTTAATCTTAAAGACCTACTAAAGGGAAAAACAGTCTTAGCTTGACAAAAGCCAGGCCTCCAGGATCCCATGATATTAACGTCCTTTAGCATATTAAAGTCCTTTTGGAAACTTCCCTTTGCCTGTATCTCCCCCAATTCTAAAGTATATAATCAATGGCTCCTCCCAAACCCAGTGCCACTCTTTCTGCCCACTGGTCCTGTCCCTGTGCTATCGTAAAAACACCTTTTTGCACTGAAAAGTTCTCGAGAATTCTTTCTTGAGCTCTGAACCCCAATATTTCCACATCAGATATGTGTACTACATGTGTCAAAAATACTGAATCAAAGTATGAATGGACTTGTGGGCAATTAAACTAGCATTCCAATCACCATTCTGATGAGTTAGTGATCGGAAAAATGTAGCAGGATGAGACGGGTAGAGACAGAAGGCATGGCAGGTTAGAGATGCAGTCCTGGAGACCAGGCAGCAATCCTACAGTGGAAGAATTGGAAAATATCAGAGAAGGCAGAAAATCCTGCTCAGGAGGTGGCCTAGAACCAGCTCTCCAGCTCAGGCCACTGTGGTGGGTAAGGAGCGGGCACAGTGTCAGAGTCACTGGGGCTGAGTCCTGGCTGGGGTCATGGGGATGCAGTAACGGAGGAAAGCTGGCCAGGAGGGCAGAGTGGGGAGTTATAACCGAACACTACAACCATCACGGCTCCCCAGGGGGAGCCAGGTATTCACCTATTATGGCCCAGCAGTTACTATGGGACATAGTCCATGTGACACTTTCTCATCTAATGGCCACAACACAGGATCTTGGAAGTGTCACCTTCATTTGACAAGTGAGGTCAGTGCCTAATTAGTGAAAATCTAGCAGGACAAGGGGGAAAAGCTAAGGATTAACATGTCCCAGGAAGAGCAGGCCGGACGTGTCTGAAAGCTCATCTTTAGAGAATCCTGAGCAGAAATGGCTCCTACTGAAATAAAATTGAAAATAGAGTCCTGGAGGTGAGAGAAGATGGTTAATTAAAAAAAGAAAAGAATAAGTTGAAATGAGTGTGTCAAGATGGAGGGGGGACAGTACTAACATTCAGACTGAAGCTAGGTGAAGGGGGCTGGGTGAAGGACATTGAGTAGAGAGGGAGAGAGCAGGCAAGGCAGTATCTGGAAGGGCAGATGTGGAGGGGAGGGGAAGGGGATGACAGCCACTGGGAATAAAGGGGGCTATCATCCCACTGCTTTCCACAACCAGCATTGCCTGCGGGACAGGAATGGTTTCCACTCAGCTGAGCTCCCCTCCAATCAGGGAATGGGAATCTGGAAGGCAAAAGACACCGAGACAGAGGCTGGTGAGGAGGAAGGACATGAGGAGGAAGCCAGTAGCTGGAAATAAAAACATCCAGTTCGAATCCTGGGTCGGGTCTTAGCTGGTTAATGTCTCAATCCCGAAGTTTTCCCACGTTGAAATATGAAAGTAAAACCTCCTTTACCTCAGATGAAACAGTTTGGAAAATTGTTTGAAAACTCATGGTAAATTTTAAAGCACTCCACAAATACAAGGAATAGATATTAACTCACAAGATATCAACTGTTGAGTGATGCTTACCATGTCAGGCACTTGTAAATTATTGCACTTAAGGCTTAATTACCATATTACCATATAACATGCATATGATTGTCCATAAGATACATATGATTATTATCCTCATCCTGAAGATGAGGAAAGTAAGGCTTCAGTACCTGGGGACTTCAAACACCTTGCCCAAGGCAAGCAACCTGTACCCACAAACAGAATCTGGGGCCTGAGCCAGCTGGGACCCTCAATCCCACCCTCTCACCCAAGACTGGAGATTGAAACGACTCAGATTTCACCTGGACCCTAAGGAGTGTGGAAGAGGGAAGATCCCTTCCACCACAGACATCCTGGCTACTGCCCCACTAGCCACGGGCTTCCTGGTCCCCCTGCCTTCCTACCTTGGAGGAGCAGTTGCTTGTTTCCAGGGTCCTCCTGGTGGGCGGAGGAGGGGCTGAGGCTGGCTTTGCTCCCCCCGCCATGCAACTGCTGCTCCAGCTGCAATCGCAGACAGCTGTTCACCTGGATGCTTTGCTCCAGCTGCCCTCACAAAGCTCGGATCTCTGCCATCAGGTGGCTCAGCTCACTGCTCAAAGGGACCTGGAGACAGGCATCCCAGGTGGGAGCTGAAAGAATAGAGAGAGAATGGGTCTGGTGGCTCAGATCCAAGCTTTTCCAAGCATTTGTCAGAACACTCCGGAGCATTCCTTTCTACTCGGGACCCCGCTGTCCTCTTAGGGCCCCAGGAGGCAACGCATTTGGGACGGAGCTGCCTCCTTTTCCTGCGTGGGTCTCGGCACTCACTGAGAGAGATACCGCACACCAGAACTGCCCCAAGACTCACGTGACCCACCTGCATCTGGAGAGCCTTCCATGAGCAGGTGGGGTCAAAGCCTATTATTGTTTGACTTCTACAGTCACCCTAGTCCTATAGGCCAGAGAGCAGGGTCTTCAGAGATGGGGGGGTCAGCACTGGGCTAGAGAAAGCCAGGGGGTTCAGGAGGAGGAAAGCTGATGCCTCTGTCCTCAGGAGTTATGGTGGAGAGGAGGAAGAGGTCACCAGGGAGAGGAGAGGAGGCACCAGGCCTTTGGCAGCTTAGAGGAATGGGAGCCTCTGCTAGAGGCCAGGGGTCACAACTCACTGAACTATTCTACTTCACCATGTTGTTTTTGTTTTGTTTTGTTTTTTAAATCTCTATTTGTTACCACAGTCTGTTTCTTTGTACTAGAGGTGAAGACAGCTAAGAAATATTCTACAAAACCACATAACTTATCTGAAAGGTTGAAGCCAAATATATTTCAAAAAGTAGAATTTGTTTTGGTGTTTAGGAAGGCCATAGGATCCGTATGCCATCTCTCACGTAGCCCATACACCAGGCTGCCTCTAGGCCACAGGCCTTTAGTCAAATACATTCATATTTCTGTGATGAGCCGGGTGAATATTACCACTGAGTGGGTTTAAGTAAAGTCTTTGGTCAGTTCAGACAGGTTTTGTGACCAAATGAGTATATGAAAGAGCTACCACAAGAATTCATGTTTCTCATGGGATTACAGAATTAAGGATAAGAAACTATGGGGTTTCAGTGGTAGGAGCTTTGAAATGACTCCTAAAACAACTCTAAGAAGGGAGAAAGGCATGAAAGAGGATGTAGTCAGAATGAAGGGACTTTTTTCCCCCTCTGTCATATAAAAATGAAATTGAAAGGAAAAAAAAATACTGAATTTACAAACGAAAAACTGTTCCCAAGAAGTTAGTATAGAAAGGCTTCATCCAAGTTGTTACTACAAGTTATAAGGGATAAGGGTTTACTATGAGAAATTTTCTGGAAACATCCCATATTTTCTATTTTTACTCATTTGCATTATGTTTTTATAATCACCATAGTATCTAAATACTGCTATAGCATCTTATAAGGAGGCCAGAGGTCATGAGGCGGGAGGAAACTCCCCCTGAGAAGTCCTCACGGGGCACCTGCAGTCTATGGTTAGTATCTACCAACCCCAAAGCTCCATGAAGCTCCTTCCTATCTTTCTTTCCCTATATCCAAATCTTCACAAAGTTTTGCCTCATCCTAAAAATGTTGTCTTCTATCCATTCCTCTATCTTCCCAACGGCACCTTAGATCAGACTCTCCTCATGTAAGTACCCCATAACCACACCCACTCAGTGGGTTTCCCTGATTGGAGTGTCTCCCGACTCCAGTGTGTCCCACTAGTCTGAGAGTTCTGTTCCCATCAACTATCTGTTTTGTTTGGAAAAACGTACTCATTTTCCATGGCCCACTCTGTAGAATGTAAACTTTCATGGTACTTCATAGCTCCTCTGTATACCAGCAGCCTTCTCAACTGACTGGACTTCTCACACTCCCTCATACAAAGCTCTCCACGGGGAAGGCTGGACCCGATGCTCCCAGGAGTGCACAGAAGCTATTCTCTCAGCCTGCGGTGCCCCTGATGCTTCTTCAAGTTCTGGTTCACCTTCTCATCAGCAACTTAGGAAATCCAATCAGGTTTAATGAAAATTCAAATTTGGCTGAATATTGAAAATTCTGTATTGCTTAAGGAATTTTTAAACAGATAATAAAAAAAAATTAGAATTGAAGGGCTTAGACATCCCATCCAAAGCAAGAGCTGTTTCTATGGGATCCTTGACAAGTCATCCCTTTCTATTTAAATGGGGTTTGGATGGGAGGCTTATTCCTTCATAAATTAGCAATTCTATCACTCGAAATCTCTAGTGGTCAGGAAGGCATAAGAATGATGTAAGTCCAAATTCTACTGCCCTTTATCCTTTGATGACCCTTGTCTAAATCAATGCCAAACTCAGCAGCTCTTCTTTTTCACCTGATAGTTCTTCAAATATTTAAAACCAGTTCTCATCTCCTTGTGATCTTGTCCAGGCCGAAAATTGTTTAGTTTCTCTGACGTTCAAGATTTCTGGTCACCCGGCATGGTGGCTCCTGTCTTCACTTTGCTCCCTGGTTTGCCAAAGTCCCTTTTACAAGATGGTGTCCCACAATCTAACAATATTTCTGACATGGTCTTTCACTCTACTGTGGTCTCAGGTTGAATTGGTTTTTGTAGCAACCTTTGCCTACAAGTTCCTTGGCCCAGTGGGTTTCTAAGTAACTCCCCATTCTCAAGTCCATGAATGGCTAGAGAGCCAGACCTTCTGATCCTGTACCTCTACCACTGATATTTTCAATCAAGTCAGGGTTTCTTTTTCTTTCTTTCTTTTTTATCTTTTCTAAGTTTCTTTTATTTTTAATTTTTTATAAGATTTATTGATTTATTTGACAGAGATCACAAGCAGGCAGAGAGACAGGCAGAGAGAGAGGGGGAAGCAGGCTCCCCACTGAGCACAGAGCCTGATGTGGGCTCCATCCCAGGACCCTGAGATCATGACTTGAGCCGAAGAGGCTTCACACTCTGAGCCACCAGGCGCCCCAATCTTTTCTAAATTTCATGATATTGACATCAGTACTCTGTTCCAGCCTGGTTGGAGTTATTAACTTGATGTTTACAATACCCTCCCCCATTTGAACAACAATGGAGAAATAGAAGAAGATTCTCCAACATTAGATCAGTATCTTAGCAGGTGGCAAAAAGTCCTCAATAAAACAGTTTAAAATTTAAATCCAGGCTTGGAATTTAGATCCTAACAGAGGTATTTCTGTAAATGTTGTGCATCTTTTAACTTTCTCCCTGAGGAATGTGTCAGGGTAGGAGCAGGGCACCCGCTCTACTGGCTGCATGGGGGCAATATGTATTACTCACAATATTCAAGAGCTTCTCACATGATGGTGCCATCAGGACAGTTCTTTGAATTTTTTTTTAAGTCCCTATATAACCTGGACTTTGCTCAACTTTTCTCTGGCCACCTAGGCAGGCAGAGTTGGACTCTTGTCCAGCTACTTTTAAGGATGTCTTGGCTGGATCTTGCACATGTCACCAACCTCTGGGCTTTGCACATGAGAGAACCACTTTGCTCTTACTGGGAGCCCCAGACCTGGCTGAGGCAGAACTCTGTAGCTTTCCAGAGCTCTACAACTCCCAGGGTAAGGACCACACCAGAATCCTAAGCAAGCGCAGGGAACTCACCGGGGAGGGGAGAGGGAGAACACATACCTTTCAGCCCTTTCTTGGAATTGCCATAAAGCGCCTCATAGATTTGTAGCTCTGACTGGAGGGACTGGAAGAGCTGCTGTTTCTCCTCACACTGCTGCTGCAGGAGGGCGAGCTTGTGCTGCAGCCTGCACGGGGGAGGCAAGGACCCTCTGAGCGCCTGGCACCCCTTTGCCCCTCTAGGCCACCTGCTGTCAGCCAGCCTTCGCATCACGGGGCTTTAGCCCTAGATGTCAACCCAGAGGTCATGAAGACCATTACTTTTACTTTACGGATGTGGAAACAGAGGCTCTGAGAGGTGAAGTAACTTTGCTTGATGTCATGCCATTAGCTACATTAGTTGGGAGCAGACACTCAACCTCCGTATTCTTCCTGCGCCTATGGTGCTCTATTCCCGGTGACAGGCAGTCATAGGGTTTATGTCGGGGATGCACATGATGGCTGGTGGGGATGCTTCCTACATTACAGTGAGACCAATATCCTTAAACTAATGGGAAGGATGAGAACATTTTTTTCTCCAGGACCTGATATGCTGAGCCGTCCCCCCCCCCCACTTTTTTAAAACATTGATCTGAGAGAGAGAGAGAGATCACTTGCCTGCAAGCGGTAGGAGGGGCAGAGGAGGAGAGAGAGGAGGAGGGAAAGAATCCCAAGCAGACTCCAAGCTGAGTGCCAAACCCAGTGCAGGGCTCATTCTCATGACCCCGAGATCATGACTTGAGCCAAAATCAACAGCCAGACACTTAACCGACAGAGCCACCCAGCCACCCCTGATATGCTGAGCCTTCTAAAATAGGGTTTTACTCTCCCAAATTTGGAGTGAAAAGGCATTCTCAGAGAAGTCCTTCCTTCTGCTCGAATTTATCCATAAATCAGGAATAGCAGAGGGGAAACTGAGAACCCCAAAAGGCTCCAATACCTGTCTTGCCAATATCTCATTAACTCTGAAAACAGGGCCCCCTTCCTTCTTATTGGGCTCCCCCTTACCTGGACTCTTTCTCCTGGAGGGACAGGCGTTCCTCCTGGAAATGCAAGATCTCCTGTTGCTTCTCCTTCAAGTCTTCCAGAAGCTGCTGCCGTTCCCCCTTTTGGTGCTCCAGCTCCATCTCCAGCTCTTGAAGCAGGGATCGAGAGGACAGCAGGGCTTCCCTCAGGCATTCCGTCTCCTGGGAGTGCTCTGGGGAGCAGAACACAGGACGACTTACACTGTGGGGGCAGAGGCTGGCAGGACAAGGAGCCCAAGCTCCTCCATCCTGACATGCAGAACTAAGGCAACGGGAATGCAAGCTGATGCTGCAGTTGCTCAGAAAAGCAGAGGGTGTCAGCTCACTATATCCACATGCCCTGGGGAATGTGGAGCCTCCATCTTTGAAATGCCCTTGATCTTCTGCTTTCATAAGGTCTACCCTGCTATTAGAGAAAATGCTGCAGTTTCTTTCTTTTCTCCTTTCCTTCCTTCCTTCTTTCCTTCATTCCTTCTTCTGTTCCTTCCTCCCTCCTTTTGAGAATTTATTTATTTGAGAGAGAGAGATAGAGCAGGAGCAGCAGGGAGGAAACAGAGGGAGAGGGAGATGCAGACTTCTCTCCCTGCTGAGCAGGGGGCTCCATCCCAGGATCCTGGGATCATGATCTGAGCCAAAGGCAGTCACTTAACCAACTGAGCCACCCAGGTGCCCCAAAAGCTGTGGTTTCTTTTTTTTTCCCCCAAATTCTATTTATTTATTTGACAGACAGAGATCACAAGTAGGCAGAGAGGTAGGCAGAGAGAAAGGGGGAAGCAGGTTCCCCGCTGAGTAAAGAGCCTGATGTGGGGCTCAATCCCAGGACCCTGGGATCATGACCTGAGGCCAAGGCAGAGGCTTAACCCACTGAGCCACCCAGGAGCCCCAAACACTGTGGTTTCTAATGCTCATTATTTTCTAAGTTCACATACCCTCTCTATGATAATCCATTCTTTAATTTTGCTAAAGAGCAACATCAAGACTTCTTGTCTATAGTTTTTAGAATATATTATATTTGTCAATTTGAAATGGGCACATCTGTCCTTTTCTGGGCTTGTGGAATCTCAATAACCTGCATGATTTCCCAGAGACTAAGGACAGGGACTCTGAGAACAAGGCTGCAGGAGCTGTCAGTCTACCAGGGGGAAGTCCCTGGGCCTGGCTGACCATACTTGTTCACATCTTAGTGACTTCTCCCCACTGAGGTCTGTGTTAGCCTGTCCTGGCATGAGATGGTGGTTTAGCAGTTGTGTCTTCTCTCTTCTCTGTGATGTCTCATTACTTCCCCATCAGTGACCTCTCCCCTCACATCTTCCTGCTCTGAAGAGGCAGATTTAGAAACATCACTTGCTGTCTCTTCCTGTTCCACAACATTCTGGGCTTAATCCTTTAGGAAAGTATTAGTCTTTCATGACTATTCAATAAATAATTGCAGATAAATATAATTTTTATTGACCATATATTGATTTGATCAGGTCAATTGACACTAAGGTCAGCTGTCCCCCAAGTCACAGAGTAAGTGATGCCCCATCTCCCTTAGATGCCCATTGAATAGTGTTGGGAATGCTCTGGAGGACATCTGGCTGGTGCTTCCAGGCACAGAGTCCTGAGGATTACTAAGCAGAGAGGAGCCCGGCCTGAGTGAGTGAGGGGAAGCAGTGAGGAGACGGGGATGGCAGCTCAGTACCAGGAGAGACACATGAGGCTGCAGTAAAGTCTGGACAGGTAGAACAGATATCTAACTGGTATCCAGTTCATAACTAATGACTGAGTATCTGAATATCTATAGGTTGCACAGAGGTGGTGGGTTTCCTAGAGCTATCTTTGTCCCTACACCTTGGAGTGTGAGGGCCCATGGTTGGGACCTCTCAGGAAGTAGCCCCTTCTAGACTGAGAACCACATGGGTCCTTGGGTTGGTGGATCTGGTTAGCTGTTATCTCCACCTTCTTCTCTTGGCTTCAAAAGGTGTTTGGTGTGGCCAGAGGAAAGGGACTGGGAAGGAGCGCAGTGTGTGGCTTTTACCACCCACCTCTAGAAACACGACTCAGCTGAGCCTGAAGGCTCTGGTTTTCTTCCTTAAGAACTCTGTTCTTATTGTAGAGCTGAGGTGTGGGTTCCAGGCTGGGGCTGTAGAAATTGGAGGTAGATCCTGTTCCAGAAAGTGTAAGCAGACATGTTACACATTAGGGTAACAGATGCTTTCCGGAAACTACCCATTCTGTCCCTCCAGAAATACTGTCCCAACCCAGCAGGAGTGCCTGCATCCCCAAGGCCTGGACCTCAAGCCTGGTGGGCCAAGTGCCTGGTTTCCGTGTGGGCCCTACCACATGCCCTAGCTGCAGCTGTTCCAGAGGCTCTTGTCCCCACAGGAGCCACTGTGGGGCTGGGGGCAGGACAAGGGCATGTAGAAGGAATGGCCTCCAAGGGACCGCAGCCTGAGAGGAGAGTGTTGGGAGAACGGCCGCCTTGGTGAATGGTTGCAGGAGGGCGCCCGCTGAGCGGGCTCCACCACGTGCCAATCCCATGACAAGGCAGAGAGGTCAGCAGGCACATATACCAGCAGACTAAGGACGGGCTGGGACACGCCTCGTTAGCTCTGCCAGGAGGAAAGTTCTCTCTTAGCTCTAAGAGAGGATAAGAGCACCTGCCCCCCCTGCCTTGCCGGACTGTTTGGAAGGAGCAATTAGAGGAAAGCCCAGAACATGCTTTGGAAAGCGTGAAGCCCAGCCTCTGGAGGCTCCCGGGTTGTGACAGTGTGAGCGGCTCTGGGCCTCTCCTACCGCTCCCACGGGCTGCACAGCTGAGCCGGTGTTCAAGCTGCTGCCGCAGCCGGTCGTTGATGCAGATGGACTCCTCCAGGCACTGGCACAGGTTCTGGATCTCTCTGAGATGTTCCTCCAGAACGTCAGCCCCTGCAGCCATCCCGTCAGGACCGGGAAGAGGTGCGAGATGAGGAATCCTGGTCACCAGCGAGGCTCAGGTGGAAGTGGGGCACGGCCAATGGCTCCTCAGCATGATCCCTAAATATCCCCACCCTTCCAACAACTGCATTCTCTCACATGGGCACTCAAGAACAAAGAGACTTTGCTTAAAGAGGAAATGGGCTGTCAAACCCAGGACAGCCCGAGTGAAGCATGCACCAGGGGCCTCCTCCTACACACAGTTAAGTGTGAGGGAGTTTCAAGACTATTTATTTATTTGAGAGAGAGAGAGAGAGAGAGACAGAGAGATAGAGAGAGAGAGAGAGTGCATGAGCAGTGGGGAGGGGCAGAAGGAGAGGGAGAAGCAGACTTTCCACTGAGCAGGGAGCCCTCAATGCGGGGCTTGATCCCAGGACCCTGAGATAATGACCTGAGCTGAAGGTAAATACTTAACCAGCTGAGCAACCCAGGCACCCCAAAGTGTGAGGGAGTTTTAAATGTAAATGTACAATGACCAGTGTAACTGGTGATGGTGAGGGAGTTTTACATGGTTTAGAAAAATAACTGAAGTATCGGGAAAGGTGTGGTGACCTGAGTGTGACTTTCTCTCCTGAGTGTGTTAGGGAAGACTTCACTCTAGCCTGATAACATTCTTATGGTTACTTGATGAAATATTCTTACCGAGACATCAAGCCCTTCCTCCAGCCTCAGAAAGGAGGCATAAAGTAGAAGACCATGGATATAAACTTCTCCTGTGTGGTTAATGACATGAACGTGAGAGCACAAGGTGTGTCCCTGACTTTCCTAGTTCCCCGAACAGCACTGAGGCCCTGGGGCAGGGAGGCTGAAGTGGGGCACTTAGGAAGGTCCAGCACAGATAGGACCCTTTAATTTTACCCCCACTCTGTGAGCCAGGGACTAGAGAAATGGAAAATGCCCCTGCCCAGCTAGAAGACTCTAAATGAGATTTCATTTCGCAGACCGACCTTTTTGGCTTTATGTTTTACCTATGGGTTTGGAGTTAAGCTGACACACAGAGGACAGGTCGCCTGATACACTCCCTTTCTGAGGCCTCATCACATCCCACTGGCTGCCTCTGCCCAGATAGCCAGGCTCCAGGATTTTGCCCAGTTCTGGTCCACCCCTCAGTGGAGAGTGGGGCTGGGCGGGGTTGAGATAGTGAGAAGAGCTGGCTTCTAAATGGTTGCTTGGCAGTGCAGCTGGGGAAGCAGGATGGATGGTGCTGACACCTGGGCAAAAAGAAACCAGAGTGAGGAAGAGAGGATTGGAAGGGAAGGACCAGCAAGAAAGTGTGGGATTGCTAAAAGTGGACACTAAAGGGGACATGCACGATGTCAGAAATCCCAGTCCATTGTGGAATACCAGTTAGATGAAGACCATAACCTAGAAGCCATAACTTTCACCTCATGTGTTTGCTGGCATGAGACACCAAGAGGTGGAGGATGGACAAAGTATCTGGAAGTCACCAGTGTACACAAAGGAAAAGTCCAGAGGCTGCACTCCTGGCTTCTACTATAATTCGTCATGATACAGTCCAGGAAAGTTCTGGAAGGAGAACTCAGTCCCAAAGTTGGGGGATATAGTACATTCCTATTCGTAGATATGCTCAATGCTGGCATCCATGGAGGGATGTGGGAACTTTCATTTAACATAGGCTGATGCTCTCATAGATCTTAGGAAATCATGGGCTTTTCCCTGGGCCAAATCATCTCTGCTTCTTTGTGAAAAGAAGTCCAGGCTGTGGGAGAGACAGAGAGAGGTGGGCAGGTCTGTAGTTTAGGATATTCCTATTCAGAAGACGGCTTTCCTTCAAGGATTATCAGCATGGGCAGCATAGTAAGCAGGTAACTTGACCTAAGCAAAGAGGAAGAGGTCATCATTCCCTCCAACTAAGCCAAACTCCTCAGAGGGGATAATGCAATTGGCTACTGGTCAATTTTTATCTCCATTTGTAACTGGTTCTCAAATTTATCTACACACTACAGTCACCTTGGAAAATGTAAACAAACACATACTGATGACTGGACCTCCCAGAGATTTTGCCTTAACTTGGGATACAGCTTGGGCACTGGATGTTTTAAAACCATCCCAGGTGATTCTAATGGCAGCAAAGTTTGAGAAGCACCCATCACGGGTCTCTCCTTCCTCAATCTGCAAAATAATAGATGTTCATTAGGATAACTGGGGGATAAACTGTGTCAGCATCTGAATCTTTTTTTTAAAGGTAGGCTCCATGTCCAGTGTGGAGCCCAGTGTGGGGCTTGAACTCATCACCCTGAGATCAGGACTTGAGCTGAGATTTAGAGTCAGATGCCTAACTCACTGAGAGTCACTGGGCTACCCACATGACCCTCAGCATCTAGATTTTAGTTGGGATTTGTAAAGATGTGATTTCCTGCATCTTTCACACCCCCTTCCTCCCCAGACCAACACAAGGCAAAGGGGGAAATCAGGGGTTGTTGACAGCTTACATTTTAACCAAGGCTGTAGAAGGTTCCAAGTCTATCAGTAAAAGCGATCAGCATTCTCACGTTCCTGGTTGCCCAGGCCACATATGAGAGAGCACATGCCCTAAACCATGAAAAGACACCAGACAGACTCTAACACAAGGAGATCTTTGCCCCACTGTGCCCCAAGAACCCGCCATGCACCAGTGTCCATGAGGATGCTTGTTTCCAAGCAGACAAGAAACTCTGGTAAGCTGCCATCCCTCAGAGAGGCCTGTGCTTCAGGACAGAAAAGACAGGGCTGTCATCTTGCTCACCAAAGCTGGGACCATCCAAACGGTCAATGGACCAGCCATTGGTCAGACTAGGTATGACTTGATCCCATCAACAGACCCTTTTTCATGCACAGATGTCTCCTATCTCTCCTTTTGGACAAACTGACAAATATGGAAAGGTAAAGGAAAAGAAAAGTCAGTTAGAGATCTCTCTTGCCATTTTGATATGGGACAAAATTGTTTTCCATCCACTGTTGGTTCCAGAACTGCTAAAATGTCAAATTCTAGATCAGAGGTCCTGATAAATCATCTACTGATCTCTAAAGAGACAGAGAAAAGATTGTTTCAAGGGGCTTCCAGAATTTGTTGAGCTTATCTCTGAACAGGATGGTAACAAAACCATCCTAGACAGAAAAGGTATCATGGAAACACAGGACTGTGAGCTGAAGACCTGGTTTCAAGCCCATCTCTCCCACTTACTAGTAACCTTAAACAAGTAGCTCTACTTCCCTGACCCTTAGTTCCCTGCCCGGGCTCCACCTATCATGCAAGTGGTGTGAGGCTTAGGAAGACCAGGTTTGTGTTGCTAGGTTAGTGTAGATTGCTACACCTGGGTAAAGCTGTGATAAGCAGGAGGCAGTCTTCTAGATGTTACTGCCTGCAAAAAAGGGAGCTGTACAAACTCTCCTAAAAAGGGTGTTATCTAATTGGTTCTGGAAATCAAACTGGGACAGAGTAGACTAGAGAGTGTGGTCACTTTCAGAATTGACATAAGAAATAAGCTGGACTGTGCTCACTTCTGCAGCACATATACTAAAATTGGAACAATACAGAGAAGATTAGCATGGCCCCTGCACAAGGATGACATGCAAATTTGTGAAGCATTCCATATTTAAAATAAAAAAAGAAATAAGAAATAAGCTGGACTAAATGACAATTGGGGCTTCAGGTATATGAATTCTCATCTGTGGTCCTAGGTCACTGGACACTGTGCCTGGTTTCCCTTACCATCAATCTCTGGCTCATCTGAGCCTTTATTTTATTTTATTTATTTATTTATTTATTTATTTATTTGATTTATTTATTGAAGGCACAGAATGCGGGTTTTTTTTAAATCATTTTTTAAATTTATTTTCAGCATAACAGTATTCATTGTTTTTGTACCACACCCAGTGCTCCATGTAATCCGTATCCTCTCTAATACCCACCACCTGGTTCCCCCAACCTCCCACCCCCCCACCTCTTCAAACCCTTCAGATTGTTTTTCAGAGTCCCTAGTCTCTCATTGTTCACCTCCCCTTCCAATTTCCCCCAAATGCCTTCTCCTAACTCCCCATGTCCTCCATGCTATTTGTTATGCTCCACAAATAAGTGAAACCATATGATAATTGACTCTCTCTGCTTGACTTATTTCACTCAGCATCATCTCTTCCAGTCCCATCCATGTTGATACAAAAGTTGGGTATTCATCCTTTCTGATGGAGGCATAATACTCCATAGAGTATATGGACCACATCTTCCTTATCCATTCATCCGTTAAAGGGCATCTTGGTTCTTTCCACAGTTTGGCAACTGTGGCCATTGCTGCTATAAACATTGGGGGCACAGATGGCCCTTCTTTTCACTACATCTGTATCTTTGGGGTAAATGCCCAGTAGTGCAATTGCAGGGTCATAGGGAAGCTCTATTTTTAATTTCTTGAGGAATCTCCACACTGTTCTCCAAAGAGGCTGCACCAACTTGCATTCCCACCAACAATGTAAGAGGGTTCCCCTCTCTCCACATCCCCTCCAACACATGTTGTTTCCTGTCTTGCTAATTTTGGCCATTCTAACTGGTGTAAGGTGATATCTCAATGTGGTTTTAATTTGAATCTCCCTGACGGCTAGTGATGATGAACATTTTTTCATGTGTCTGATAGCCATTTGTATGTCTTTATTGGAGAAGTGTCTGTTCATATCTTCTGCCCATTTTTTTTTATATGATTGTCTGTTTTGTGTGTGTTGAGTTTGAGGAGTTCTTTGTAGATCCTGGATATCAACCTTTTGTCTGTACTGTCATTTGCAAATAAGGTAACATCAAACTGATTTCTAGTTGTTGTTTTTTTAAGCATTACTAGAGAGCAAATTCCTCATTTGAGTTTTTCCTTTTTTTCCTAAGCTATAAATGACCCCACCAACAATTTTGACAATGAGTCATCCAGCCCAGACATATATCAAAGCCTTTCCAAAAAGATGACCATACAGAGCCTGTAATGGTTACAATCAATACGATCAATGATCTCTGGGAGTCAGAGGACAGAATTTACAATCAGGTTTCACAGCCTGTGCTTCCGGTCTGAGCCACCAACCTGTCACCTGTCCCGGGGTAGAAATGAATCTTGTGCCCTAGGAAGGGGGGCTTTGTCACCTCTTCTGAATCCCTCTATTGCTACTACCCTTCATACCCTCAACCTAATGATGTCAGGAGCCGAACTTGATGAAGAGCGTGTTTCACAGCAGAAGACTATCATAGGCATGGAAAGAACCCCTGGAAATGACCACTTTGTCTCGCCTATATAGGCAAGGCACAAAAGCTCTCACCCGTGTCCTGCCTGCAGACATGTCTCCGGCGTGTCAGGCTTTCAGCAGACTTGCTGGTACCCCACACTGGCAGCAGTGGGACAGGAGCAGGTGTAGGGCCTGATGAAATGATGAGTCACACACACACCAGAAAGACAACAGTAAAGGTATTCCCCCCCCCCCCAAAAAAAAGGCAAGCAGGGCCACCTGTCAGTCCCCTGCTGGTGACGTGCATACCCTAGGTCATTTTTCAAAACTCCGCTGCCACGCCAAAGCCATGCAGGGCCACATGGGGCAGAGCAGCCTGGCCCAAGCACATGAAGGCCACAGGAAGTGCTCACTTTCTCCCAGTTGTTTCTGCAGCATCTGTACCTCCTGCTGAGCCTCTGCCAAGGAGACCACGGGGGTCTCACAGCAGCCAAGGAGGGGAGGGCCAGTGGGGCTGAAAGGCAGGAAGCTGGGTGCTGCTGAGGGCAGTGGTGCCTGGGGAAGGCTAATCAGCATGGGTATGGAGGGAAAGTGAAAGCCTAGAAACACAGAGTTGGGAAGAAAGGAGACACATCATTAGAACGAAAGGAATGGGGAAAAGATGGAGAAAATGAAACTATTTCTTGTCCTGATGTCTCCTTGGGGGCAGCTATCATTCAGCATAATGATGGCCAACAAGGCGAAGGGCCAGGGTTGCCACCCAAGAGCCAGGCTTAGCGGACCCCTCTGCCTTCTCCCTTGCTGGGGACTTCCGGCATACATATTCTATGCTCATCTTGGAAACAACTGGCTAGAGCAGGCAAGGTGGCATAGCTATATCCCAGGCAGCTATGAGAGCCTCTCCCAGCTGTCCCAGGCACAGAGGGGTCAGAACATCCGCACATTAATGCTCCCAATCACCCCTGGGTGTGAGTCGGTCCTTGTCCCTGTGACAAAACTCTCTACACCTGGAACTCCTCTGAGAGTATGAAGGCTCACCCTGAGGAGGGCAGAAGCGGGCTAGGACTGTGGGGAAATGTGCATTCCTCATGCGTGTCATTTGAGTCTCATGGAGACAAACCTGAGAATCTCAAATCAATGCTTTCATTCACCAAAAGAAAAATCAAGGTCTTGGTAAAGTGACTCAGACACTATAGCTTGCATGCCGGTCTGGGCATTCAAATCACTTAGGAAAAATTCTTAATGCGTGCTGTTGCTTCAGGCTCTGCTCTACTAAGTCATTAACTTTGGAAGGAGGGCTTGGAAACTTGCATTTAAAGTAGATCTGCACAGATGACCATGATGTAGCCCATCTATGGACAAGTCTTTAGGGACCCTGGGACATTCTGATGTCTGAATCTGTCTCCTCTTCCCTAAAAACAGTTATATGGCAGGAAGCCTGTGGAGGGAGCAGAAACCAAGACTGATCTGTGGAGAATGCCTCCATGGAAAACAATGAGTACATTCTAATCACATCCCTCACCCCGGGATGCTGATATACTGTCGGAGAAACACTGCAAAGACACCCACATTGCCCAGTGACACAGGCATCCTTCAGGTAGGCATTCTGATTTTAAAACCCCTGGCCTTCTGCTCCTTTTTGACCCCAGAGCATTTGCATAGATGTCTAAAGCACTAGGCAAACAGGTTTTCCCCATGACTTCCTGGGCCAGCTGCTGCTTACTCTGGCCCAAAAACTTCAAGCCCCAGCTCAGAAAGGGTCAGAAACATCCCCTTCTTAAGATTTTGGATGATGGGCTCTCAGGAGAAATGGGAGCCACAGAAGGACAGCATGTGCCTTCTGTGGGCACCTTATGACAAACCACACCGAGGGCAGCCAGCCAGTTGTGGCAAGAGGTAGGAGGCAGGGACAAGGCTTGCCTTCTTCTTGCCATCATTGGTGTGGGGCTTTAACTGAACAGCACACTCCTGGCAATTAGGTTGGGGCAGGTAAATGAAATGTACCCCTCCCACTTACTGCAGGACAGGCACTATGTACATATCGAGGGCTGCCCAGCTGTTCGTAAATCCATGAATGAATGACCATGTAATGTGAACAGAATCTTGTAGGATCCAGAAGCATCCCGAGTTGTTGCAGAGGCTTGCCCTGAAGATAAACGGGTAATGCTTCCAGGCTAGCCATGAATTGACTTTCTTTTTGTTCTGTGGTGACTATAACCATGGGAGAGACTTCTTTTGCCTCTTTGCTCCCCAGAGTGAAATGAAAGAAAGAAATGAAAATGTTTACTTTAAAAGGATTCGCTGACTACTGGTCAAAATTGGTATTCTGATCAAAGTCTACTGCAGATCTCTGATTTGCCTAAAATATTTAGAACCAAGAAAATGCAGACACACTTGGTGGACTAGGAAGGCCTCTTGATTTCATCTAGGTCTGATGCCTAGAAGCCTCTGACAGTGGAAACATTTGTCCCTGAATAAAAGTCAAATAGGCTGCTGAGGGAGAGGAGACAGCCCTCCCGCTGTGTTGGCTGTTGCATACCTGGATGGGCCTGGCTGCCCTTCTGGGGGGAGGGGGCAGTTCTAGGGAGCTGGCAAGCTGATGGGGTTGCTGCTCGGTTCAGCCTTAACCCCCCGAGGTGCACTGGTTGCTGATGGCTTAGAAGACAGTACAGTGGAATGACTCAAATGATGGATGGAATCTACAAAACCCATGAATGAAAGAAAATGTTCGGTGGTCGACAAAGAACTGGAATCTGGCCTTCTATTGAGCCAGGGGTACCAGGGCAGGACCTGGCTTTCTGGGAAAGCACCAAGCACAAACACTGTGAGCCGTGTTCATTTCCTTGCTTGCAGATAGCTTCTTGAGGGAGGCAAACCACCTTAGAGGTGAGAGTGGGGCCCAGACCCAGAAACCATGAAAATGGCATTTCCAAAAGTACCAGGTGGGAATGACAGCATCCGTGACTGCTGACAGATACCCTGGGGACACTAGATCAGGACATGCAATGAGCAAGACCTCTGCAGGAGGGAGATGATGTCCCATTTGAAGAAGGAAGTCAGACAGATGGTCTGTGCTCATGAGACAATGGGGAAGAGCCTGCCTGGATGTTCTCTCTTCCCACTGCGCTTCCCCTTGGGTCTACCAGCTTGCAAATGCAGTGGAGACCCAGCAACACCCTGCGGAGTCAGGAGCAGAGCAAAGATCCTGAGGCACTGGGGCCTGTACTTGGTGCTTGGTCCCAGGGACACGTTCAGCCTGACACACAGCAGAGAGGATCTATAATACCTGGCTAGAGAAACAGGAGGTTACCTGAGTGACCACGCAGAGCCTTCTTCTCTTCGTAGTGCGTGTACTCGCTGGCTACATCCATGTCAGAACAGGCTTCCAGCTCATCAGACAGGAAGGAGGAGCTGCTGGGAGAGCCCTGGGAGTCCGACAAGGCATGGCTGCTGGAGGGTGTGAGGGACCGGGTATCCAGCTTGGCCTGCAGGACCTCGATCACCTTCTCCTTCTCCTGCAGTTCTCTGCTGAGCCTAGTGGGGTGGAAGGAGACAATAGGTAAAGCTAAGGGCACCGGCCCAACTTGTCCTGACCAAGGCACACGGGAAAAAACACCTAAGTCAAGGGAACCTTTCCTCTGAAGAACCATCAAAATAACCTATCACTGATGAGGGGCGGAGAGTAGGTGAGGTGCAGTGGGAGAAAGAGGGGCAATCACCACCCAGGGCACTGGTCACGGGAGATGCTGGGAACTAGCAGAGACTCAGCCAGCCCTGTAAGGCACAGCTGCTCCAAGTGCAGCCCCAAGAACTGCTGGTTACCAGTCTCCAAGAAGGTAAGTACAATAACTGAAGGTAAGCAGTGACAAACACACAGCAGTCTGGCATCGCCTTTGACAACCGAGAGCAGGATGTATGGGATCATGTGGATGATTGAGGTACAGCGTAGGTATGTGTCTGGCATGGATTCGCAATGAAAACAAAACCAAAACCCTTTGCTCTGCACCACAGGGACTCGGAGCAGCACCATGTGGTCTAAAGCAGGCTTCTGACAGAGAGAGGCTTGGACTAGAGGCTACATCTATGGATTTTGAGCCCATATTTTACTGTACATGGTAAGATTCTCTGCAGTGACTCATTGAAAACTGGTTCCCGAGAGACTGTAGCCTCCCAGGCATCTGCGATACTGAGGCCTTTCCCTTCTAAGGAACTACATTATGGTTCTTCAATTCTTTTTTCCCTCCGGGGGAACTGGACTATTACTAAATGAGCTGCCAACTTAGCTTAGGGTAAGTCAACTTAGCAGCACAGCCTCATCTTTAAACACCTGGGAAGAAAGCAGAGGAGAGCCTTGGGGGTGCCAAGACCCCTGGAACCTGGTTAGTTTCCTGTTGGGTCAGACTGAGTCTAGGTTACCCAACCTGGAGAATAATTACATGATAGAAATCAACAGAATTATAGCAAAAGAGAGTCTAAAGTGTCTCATGAATAAATGAACATGTTATAATCAGCATTTCCCTGCCCCAATTTGTAAAGTTACAGTCACCCTGGACCCCTTGGGTCTTGTTCCTGATTCCTTTACCAGATCCTATTTCAAGTTACCTGAGGGCCAGTGGTTCAAGTCCAACTTGATCTTTCTCACTTTTATGATCCTCTGAAAGCCAAACTCAGAAAGACATGGTAAGAAATTAAACAGATCACACTTCCTACATTATAAATGCAAGAGCATCTGTGGGTACAGAATGGTGATTCCTCTGTGTATGTCCAAGACATGTAGGAGACCTGTGGGCTCTCTTGAACTCACCAGGCAGACCTCGCTGGCGATCAGCCTCAGGACTTCCTCTACTCTAAATCAATGCAAAGAAGTTTGAAGCGCACTTGCTCAGCTTCTCTCTGGAATATTCCACCTTCTAAGCCTGCCACAGACTCACTCCCAGATGCATGCTCTTTGTCCCATCACAGCATTCATGGAGAGCACACTCTTGCTCTGAGAGATGACAAACTGTCCTGTCCCACCTCTGCACCTGCCACCAGTGTGTGGGATGGTTAGCTCCCAAGACTGATCCTGCTATCTCTTGGTACTCTCAGGAAATGTTTTCTAAGTAAAGAACTCCAATAATAGTCCGTATTCCTAGCTCTTGCACTATGACATTCAGTGCCCAAGCCACGTCCAAAGGGCAGGGTGCTTTAACTATATTGGAATTATATTCACAAATGACACCGTGTGATAAACAAAGAGACACTGAAAGGCTAAACCATTGCCCAAAGCAAATTAATGGCAGCATCCAGGCTACCACTTGGGTCTTGCAATTCTCAGGTCAGGCTCTTTTCACTATGATGACATCCTCCGATCTCTTCTCCTTTTCTCCCCCTTAGCACTGGATGGACACAGCCTGCTTCCATAAAGGTCACTTGCCATGAGTGCTCCAGTTTCTGCCATTGCAATCTCCAAATCCTGTGTTTCTCCTCAGTGTTCCTCACCAACTAGTTCTGATCCTGTAATGGCCCCAGGAAATGAAGTGGAAGCAGGACCTGGGTTAAAAGACTGTGGTGGAGGTGTGGTGACCACCTGGGCCTGGGGCTATGGGAGTGACCGAGTGTGTGCCAAAGCCCTGTGGCCAACTTACTGGTGCTGAGTTTGCTGGTAAGCCTCTCTGTCAACTGGCTTCCCTGGGCAAGTTGCTCTCGGAAGCTCTGCCCCAGGTAGTTGTCTATGTTATTGCTCCTAAGAAGGTCCTCAAAAGATTTTACTGTATCTTTTGCATGCTGGGTGAGAAGGTAACAGATGCCTCTCCCTTTTTGTATCTTCTGGCGTAGGTACGACAGCTCTCGGGCCTGATCCTGAATCAGGGAATCATATTTCCTAATATAGGGGAGAAGAGGAAAAAGTAAGAATGAAAATGAGTGAATGTGAAATTATGGGCCTTCAGTAGAGATTTCCATGAGAACATTTCAAAGGAGCTCCCCAGGCAAAATTCTGGCACAGAAACCAAAGTATTTAAGAGTAAATCCTGCTCTGGTACATGATGTCAGTTTAGCAATTTAGTGATTCTTACAATGTTTTGTGCAAGTTAGCCCTATGTCCAGGAAAATACTACGTCCTGTGGAGGTAAATATGGTGCCCAATTTTACATTCTTCATGGGACTAGTAGAGTGTAGATTCACAGCTGATACTCAAGAAACACTAAATGTATTTTTTGAGTAGATATTCAATAGACACGATAAATAAAAATAAGTTCAGTGACTAGAATCACTTAATCCTGGGACACCTGGCTGGCTGGCTCAGTAAGAAGAGCTCACGACTCTTGATGACGGAGTAGGGAGTTCAAGCCCCACATTGGGTGGAGACATTATGTAAAATAAATAAATACATAAACTTGGGGGGGAAAAAGGAATCACTTAATCCTAAGTCTAGATAAGATCTTTTATTTCTATCCTATTCTATTCTATTTGGAAGATCATCTCTATTATGGCAGACTGTCTTGCCAAGATGGCCATTACATTCCTGTTCCACATGCTGTTTTGCCAATGTGCCTTTGCTCCTTCTCTCACTGGCAGGTAGAGGCTGTTCTCCACCTCCTTAAATCTGGGCGAGCTCTGTGAGCACTGTGACTGAGGTAATAAGGGAAGTGACACTGTGCTAAGTCAAGGAGTAGCTCTGAACTGTTTGGCAACTTCTCCTTCCACTCTTTTGGAAGCCAGCTGCCAAACAGAAGTGGAACTACTCTGAGACCACTTGAGCAGAGAGCCTGATTTGGGGCTTGATCCCAGGACTCTGGGATCATGACCTGAACTGAAGGCAGAGGCTTTAACCCACTGAGCCACCCAGGTGCCCCACTCAGTATCCTTTTATATAAAATAAGGATAACTCATACCTAGTAGAGCTACTGGATGCTTAAATGGAATTGCATATATGGTCTAGTCAGTTCAGCGTCTATAACAGATGAGTCATTTTATTCTGCTCTACCAGCTGCAGACCCGAAAAGTACTAACATCAGAACTCTATGAGGTACTTGTAAAACAGAACAAAACAAAACCCCCCACAAATTTAGAGCTAAGGCCTATGGATCTACATTTTACTTAAGTCCTGCAGGTGATCCATAAGCACGCTGTATTGAGAACTGCTGACTAGAAGAGGCACAAGAAACTAGTAATTCATATCTAAAGAATTAGCAGTTGGTTCTCCCCCTAGATTGAGTTTCTTAGAATCCTGAACTGGCTGGCTCAGTCAGAAGAGCATGTGACTCTTGAACTCGAGGTTGTGAGTTCAAGCCCCATGGTGAGCAGAGAGATTACTTAAACAACAATGACTTAGGCTTTCACTTAAGTAGAATTTCATTTCAGTAGAAGAAATATCATGGGGGCACCTGGGTGACTCAATCTGTCAAGCATCTGACTCTTGATTTCAGCTCAGGTCATGATCTCAGAGGTGAGACTGAGCTCCACATCAGGTTCTGCACCAGGCATGGAGGCTGTTGGAAGATTCTCTCCTCTCCTTCCAACCCTCCCCCTCCTTGTGCATACGCTCTCACATGTACTCTCTTTTTCTCTGTAAAAAAAGAAAAGAAAGAAATAAAAAGGAAGAAAGGGGTGCTTGGGTGTCTTCAGTCCTTTAAGTGTCTGCCTTCAGCTCAGGTCATGATCCCAGGGTCCTCGGATCGAGCCCTACATTGGGCTCCCTGCTCAACAGAGAGCCTGCTTCTCCCTCCCCCTCTGCCTGCTGCTCTATGTACTTGTGCTCTCTCTAAATTTCTATCAAATAAATAAAAATCTTTAAAAAAAGGAAGAGATGTCATTATTCAATGTAAAAGAACCAGCATGAATGATGATCACAAGAATATTTCCAAGAATGTTCTAAAAAGTATACAGCATAGAAGAAAAGACTTAGATATTAAAAATTCGGAGGCAGGCATCTAGCCACGGACTAATATGCAACTTTGAGCAAGCTGCTAGAACTTTTTAGACTGGAGTTTCCTTGACTATGAAATAAGGATTAGGCTAGAATCCAAGGTCCTCTTCAGCATTAATATTATTCTATGACTTGGGGACTTGTAAGTGGCACATAATAGGCAGGGAAACTATAGAACATGAATTAGAAATTGTACAATTGCACTGCTGTGCTCTAAACAACAGGCCCCATGATGATTATGACCCTCAGGGATGAACAAATGAATGGATTAGTCCTACATTATCAGTCTGTTCCCTAAGCATTTTTTGAAAAATGTCATGAAAAACAGAGTGGTCAGGGGCACCTAGGTGGCTCAGTCAGCTAAGTGTCTGCTGTAGGCTAAGGTCATGATCCCAGGATGCTGGGATCAAGCCCCGTGTCAGGCTCCCTGCTCAGCAGGGAATCCGCTTCTCCCTCTCCTCCCAACCTGTGCTCTATCTCTGTCTCTCTCTCAAATAAATAAAGAAAATATTTTTAAAAAAACACACGGTGGTCAATCTAACCAATGAATCAGCTATATACCACTTATGTAAAGTTAACAAACAGCAGATATTGTTACATGTACTGTTCCATGATTTAGGGATTCATGCTGCTAAGAGAGAGCTGAGTGGAAGCAAAGAGGCCCCTGTATACATCATCTTCCCTCAGGGACTCTTCTGGTTCCACACGCAGCAGTAGGGTAGTCATGGGTAGTCATGTAGGGTAGTCATGGGTAGTAGGACATTCTTCAAAATGTTCCAGTCATACACTGGCAGATTTTCACTTGTGACTCTATGGCTAATAATGGGCATTATTACATGGAATTAAGGCCAGATTTAAATAATTTGAATCATCACCATTATCCAATATTATTGAGTTTTCTTTAAGAATTTGAACCATTAATGCACAGAGCTTGGGATGTGGACCAGGAAGCCCTGGAGCAGCACAAATGCCTTCGTTGCAGTGAGGTGAACTCCCTTGCCTCTGGTGACATCCGGATTAGCAGACTCTCCTCCTCTGGGCAGTGTTCTACCTGATGTGGGCCACAGAGGAGAATCCTGCTTCCTCAATTTGAGCCTTTAGCTCTTTCAGTTCCCCCTCAGCTCTCCTCTTCTCCTCTAAGTGTTGGTGGATCTCGGATCGCAGTCCTCCTGAAGACCTCTGTTATTGTTCCCTCCTGCTGAGGAAGGAGGGGGAAGACATACATTCTGGGTCTGCACAGCTGCTAGGCTTTTCTCCAAGGCCACCTTGATGAGCTGAAAGAAAATCATAATTTATAAAGAAGTTAGGTCATGAGAGAGGATTCAAGAGGAACATCAGATTGCAAAGGCAGCCATTAATGGGAACAAAAAAAAACAGCCCTAAAATGAGCTCATCCTAAGGACTTCCTCAGCCATAAGGGCCCTGGAGACTGGTCTGGATGGGGAGGACACGAGAGAGCCAGTGTTTGGAACTGCTGCCATAGGCAGAAGAGCCGCATCCAGATGTGGGTCAGAAAAAAAACACAAGCCCATCATAAATAAAAACCCAAATGCAAACAATTGAGGTTTACACAGGACCAGAGAGTGTGGATGCTGTGATTCTTTTCTCCCTGGGGAACCGGGAGAAGCATCCTGAGATGCTTCTTACAAGACAGGAAACTTCCTTGATGCCACAACATCCAAGTCCTTGACTATAAAGATCTTGGCTTGAGACACTAGCTCTCAGAGCCTAAGGCCAAGCCTGCACCTCATGCCTAAAAAGGAAGACTGAGACAGGAGGCACTCAGCCACAGGTAAAACAACAGTTTAATTTCACTGGCAGCAGGAGAATCACACCCCATAACTTTGGAGAAGTTAAAGTGAGGCCACCTGCCCACTTGTTGCTTATCACTCTTGTGCTGATGCTGACAGGCAAACTCTCTCTACAAATCTAAGCACCTGAGGAGAAAACAAGGTGGAAACAACTTCCCAACACCTTTCTATGCTCCGTGGATACTCCTGAAGTTACTCTTCAGTGCATCAACTCAAGCAGATCATGTAGCTTTTCCTCAAAGAATTTTTTTAAAGACTTTCTTATTGTTCATCTTGGGTTCCTTTCCAATTTCCCCCACACACTTAAAAGTATAGAAACCAAAACCTGAGTATGAAAACCCACTCCATGTATGACTAGGGTTTCTTGTCCATCCATCCAATATTAATCTTAATACATCCCATAGCTATGTTGCTTCTTTCTCCTCTCGGTGACTACACTTTGGGGTTCTACTTAGTTTCGGGTCTATGTTGACCTCCCAATTTCCCACCTCGCTACCACAGCTATTGCAGGCTTGTGGTATTTCTTCTATCTGTATTAACAGTGTGACTTGTACTTGTCACTGGTAAATTCATTCTGGCTATCCAGAATCATTTCTCAATGATCAAAGTCTTCAAAATATTTTATGGGCATCTCCATAAATCAAGTAGTAGCCACTCAACTGGGCATGATTTGTAGAATTAATTACATGCTTTATACCTTCATTCGGGTTACAAATATATAGAACAGAACAGGGCCCAGAGCCACTTAAATGGATCAATGACTGACAGAGCTGCTTGGCCTGACACAAAGCCACAGACTTCTGCTTATAATGGAGCTTGGTAAGATCTAGGCTGCATGGGTGGAGTCGATTCACAGCATGAATTTGCCAGTAACACAGCCATTGAGGTTGCAAAGAAAGAGAATGAAGAAAGATGCATAGACACAGCTGCTCATTTCCCAGGCCTTTCTCGGGTTCTGAGCCTGACTTTTGCCTCTCTTGTTCTCCTACCAGGCTCAGTTAGGTTGGCCTATCTCCACATGGGCCACCAAGTAATTGGGACAAAATAAAGAAAGGGGGACTGGATAAAACCACTTCTGAAAATTTAGGACTTCAACCCATCATTTAAACTATGAGATGTTACCTTTCTATATAAACCCTTTCCAACGAACTTAACTAAAATAAACATTGGCAGGGCACCTGGGTGGTTCAGTCGGTTAGGCATCCACCTTCAGCCTCAGGTCTTGATCTCAGGGTCCTGGGACTGAGTCCCACATTGGGTTTCCTGCTCAGTGGGGAGTCTGCTTTCCCCTCTGCCCCTGTCCTTGCTTGTGCTCTCTCTCTCTCTCAAATAAATAAAACCTTTAAAAAAATAAACATACATTACCATCAGCTTTGAATATGGGCACTTTATTCTTTGCTAAAAACTAAGTGTTCTTTCTCTTTAAAAATAACATCTCACTTTCTGGCTCCTGGGTGGCTCAGTTGGTCAAGTGTTTGCCTTCGGCTCAGGTCATGATCCCAGGGTCCTGGGATCGAGCTCCATGTTGGGCTCCCTGATCAGCAGGGAGTCTGCTTGTCGCTCTCCCCCTACCCCCTGCTCATGCTCTCTCTCTCAAATAAATAAATCTAAAAAAAAAAAATCTCATTTTAATGATATATTTTTTTTAAGTGGGCTCCATACCCAGCGATGAGCACAACATGGGGCCTGAACTCATGACCTATAGATCAAGACCTCAGCTAACATCAAGACCTGGATGCCCAAGTAACTGACTGAGCCACCCAGGTTCTCCATCTATACCTATCTATTTTTATACTGCCTTCTGAATGTATGGTATCTTTCACTGATTTAAATATACATAGTGTCTTTAAAAATTAAAAAAAAATAAAGAACGATGGAATGTCTACACCAGAAAGGACCTGAAGGTATACCTGGTCTAATTTCCCACTTTAAAATTAGAAAATAGAGCTATGATTTGTTTCCCAGCTAATTTGGGTTCTGAGTCAGCGGAAGCTTACTTTAGGCTAACATCTTTAAAACTGAAATGTAAATGCATGAAAAATGACTCAGAATTTAGCTTTTTAATCAGTTTTTCTTGCTCATCTATGGAAAGTTGACATTTCTATATTTTTTCCCAAATAAAATCCCAGGGCTTTCAGTATGTGTGGTGTTAGTATAAATCCTTTAGGTCTATTGTTAATTATATCTCATACAGTTTCCGCCCAACTGGCCAGTTCCTAGTTCATTTGTTCTATTGCTTCCATGGTAAAATTAAACCTCTTTTGTGTGTGCTGGGTTTCCTTTTACCCTACAGAAATTCATATGCAAGTCTGATCTCCTGTTTGAATCACGTTGTTTTGTTTTTACCCTATGACATATATTTCACAATGTAAATCAGTTCTCACACATGTGAAAGGTATTGATAAATTTTTTTCAAGTTCTTCACATGAAGTCTCCTGACTTTTTTCTCCATCATTGCATTTGACACTTGATAACTTTTTTCTGTTGCACACATTCAAATGCAGAAAGGCAATGGTTGATTCATTTCACAGGCATTTCCTAGTTATTTATTAGAGACCTTACATTTGCTTGAGAATGAGATTTTGTGGGAGATACCTGGGGAAAAATTACCAACATAGCCAGACCTGAGACTTCCAGATGTGAATGAGTCTAAAAATAAGGATGAAGCAACTTGCTTTGGCCAAAAGATAGCTCTTACCTTGGAAGGAACACAATGTGGGATGCGTTTGTTAGGGGACGTCTGTGTATACTTGAGGTAGGAAGGTAGCTTGGTGTTGAATAAAGTTTACCTTCCAAGGATGCGGCAAAGAGGAACTTAGAACCTAACTGTAAGAGTCTATTTCACCAGAAACCAGCAAACACAGTTTTGAGAATCTGGACACAAAACAGTTATGGCAAAACAAGCTTTATTTATTTGGTAGCCGGACAGTCACGCCCTCAAACTCCAGAAAAGCTGAAGTGAATTTACAATGATTTCATACAATAAGGTTCCTCTTACCCAAAACTAGACATTGATTTTCATGGAAAGGTGATGGAAAAAAAATTATGCTTACCCAAGATATCTCCATCCAGCAGGTATATATATTTGTCCATCATGAGCCCTATCCAAAGGCTAACAAATAATTCATTAAGTATCTCTGCCTAGCAGTAGGGCAGCCATTGCAAGGGAAATATACTTGCCCCAATGCAAAAGGTTTAGTCCTTTAGTTTGAGAACTGACCTTCTCAAAATGTCATCTGGTTATTTGCTCCATGCTAGGCTATAGGAAGGAAGGTTGAGAAGGAATAACTTTACAAACCTGTTTGCCTACAACTGAGAACTAGAGCAAAGGGCTCACATGACTACTCATAGTTAAGATCGTGTCAATCAGAATTTGGCTGTCTTCACATCTGTGCCTCTTGTTCACTTTTTCTGGAACTAATCCTGTCCACAGCAGCAATAATCACATGACTGGCTGATACCCCAATCTAACTCTTAGAATGGACATTTGCTTATCTTGCATATCCCTCTCTTCTCCCCAGAGCCCCTCAGTGGGAGGAGTGGGAGGCAGAGGAATCTGTCCGGAGAGGCAATACTGTACATAATTAAAGTCACAAGCATTGGTTAGGAGAACTTAGAAGAAGCTGTTCAAGCAAAAGGAGAAGTGGAATTCATGCAAGAATTTAAGGGAGAAGTAAGGGTCAGGTACAGCTAGAGCAACAAAAAGGGGATCTTGGTAGAAGGGGAAGAAATGGTGTTGAGGACGTGAGGTATCCCAGACAACCAACTACTCATGTCCTCAAGAGCCAAAGACTGTGCTGAGTCCAGTGAGATTTGAGGAATGCTCATGTAGGTTCTTTTTGTTGGTCTCCTCTTTTTATTATACAGGAGGTATAGAGGCAGACCCCGAGAGCCTCATTTTCCCAGCAGTTTCTCTAATAGCTCCAAGGAAGCTATCTCTGGAAAAGCCCAGCTACTTCTGCAGAAGGACAGATACCAAATGATCCACTTTCTCCTTAATAACTCAGAGACCCACAGGCATGGTCCATGCAGGAGGTGTGATTGCTAAGTGTCACTGGGCAAGGTGGAGACACACAGGAGTGCCAGTGAGTGCACTGGGATCACTGTCAGTGACTTAATCTCTGAGGCCCAAGGCATTCAACTCTTGAGCTTATGAATTGCTGGTTACACCTTCAGTGATGGCTGTTGTGAACAGTATTTCAGCCCTGGGTACCAAGTTCTGAGGTTTGATGGGGGCTTGCTCTTGAAGTGTCACCTGCTTGTCACTGATGTGTCCCAACCTGGGTGGTCTGTCAGGTTGTCCAACAGACTTCTGTTTTGTGTAACGAGATTTCACCAAGACAGATCCCTGCTTTGGAAGCATTTCCAATCCTCTTGGAGGTTCTCAGCACTTTTCCTGAAGTGGATCTTAGGCCTGCCACCTCCCCCAGCAGCCTTCTGATGACTCCCTGTCTTCTGTGGTGTGTTTCTGATACAAAAACCCAAGAGGGGAACTGTCCATGGTCTTGTTGTAAGTACAAATTTTTCTGAAGCTAGAACTATAGGTGGTACATAGGTGGTACAGAGGGGCGAGGGTGGGAAGGAGGAGCAAGAGATAGAAGGAGGGGGGGAGAAAAGGTGGATTGGAGAGAAAAGTGGAGCGAGGATAGGGGTTGGCTGGCAAGGTGGCTGGGAAGCTCAGGGAGGGTAGAAAGAAGACTGGGAAGTGGGTTTATTTGTTTATTTATTTATTTATTATTTTTTATTTTCAGTGAAACAGTATTCATTATTTTTGCACCACACCCAGTGTTCCATGCAATACGTGCCCTCTCCAATACCCACCACCTGGTTCCCCCAAACTCCCACCCCCCGCCCCTTCAGACCCCTCAGATTGTTTTTCAGAGTCATGGTTCACCTCAACTCCCTTCTCTCCCTCTCCCCTTGTCCACCTTGCTATTTGTTATGCTCCACAAATCAGTGAAACCATATGACAATTGACTCTCTCTGCTTGACTTATTTCACTCAGCATAATCTCTTCCAGTCCCATCCATGTTGCAACAAAAGTTGGGTATTTCATCCTTTCTGATGGAGGCATAATACTCCATAGTGTATATGGACCACATCTTCGTTATCCATTCATCCGTTGAAGGGCATCTTGGTTCTTTCCACAGTTTGGCGACCGTGGCCATTGCTGCTATAAACATTGGGGTACAGATGGCCTTTCTTTTCACTACATCTGTATCTTTGGGGTAAATACCCAGTAGTGCAATTGCAGGGTCATAGGGAAGCTCTATTTTTAATTTCTTGAGGAATCTCCACACAGTTCTCCAAAGTGGCTGCACCAACTTGCATTCCCACAAACAGTGTAAGAGGGTTCCCCTTCTACACATCCCCTCCAGCACATGTTGTTTCCTGTCTTGCTAATTTTGGCCATTCTAAGTGATGTAAGGTGGGATCTCAATGTGGTTTTAATTTGAATCTCCCTGATGGCTTGAAACTCGACCATTCTCTTAACACCGTATGCAAAGATAAACTCAAAATGGATAAAAGACCTCAACGTGAGACAGGAATCCATCAGAATCTTAGAGGAGAATATAGGCAGTAACCTCTTCGATATCAGCCACAGCAACTTCTTTCAAGATATGTCTCCAAAGGCAAAGGAAACAAAAGCGAAAATGAAATTTTGGGACTTCATCAAAATCAAAAGCTTCTGCACAGCAAAAGAAACAGTCAACAAAACAAAGAGGCAACCCATGGAATGGGAGAAGATATTTGCAAATGACAGCACAGACAAAAGGTTGATATCCAAGATCTATAAAGAACTCCTCAAACTCAACACACACAAAACAGACAATCATATAAAAAAATGGGCAGAAGATATGAACAGACACTCTCCAATAAAGACATACAAATGGCTATCAGACACATGAAAAAATGTTCATCATCACTAGCCATCAGGGAAGTGGTTTTGAGAAAAAGATAGCTTCTTACTCTAGGCTTACAAGGGCTGTAGGAGACTACCAGACCCCAAAGGGCTATGAGCCTGCCACCCTGGGAACCCAGAACCTGACTTGGACTTACTTGCTGGCTACTGTGTGCAGCTTCCTCCTCGATACTGTCTGTGAACTCGGTGCTAGTGTCTTCAGTATCGTCCCCTGAAGTTGCACCTGGAAGTGAGTCCAGAAGAGAAAGGTGATTCCCTTCACAGGTGGCTTTCAGACAGCAGCTAAAATTACACTTTTTGCCATCTGCCTCTGATTTCTTCCTTTCCCCATATGCATGGCCCCCTAGCCAGCAGGGCTGAAGGTGGAACCACTGTACCAAATCTGCAGAAAAGACTTATATCACTGATACTTTCTAATATTTAAGCTTAAGAGTTAAAACATTCACTGACTTTGACTGCACGGACCTGTACCTAAGGAGCTGCTGTTAGATAGAGTGGTTATGCCTCACCTATTTCCAGAAAGCCTGAACTATTTCCTGTATTGCCAGCCTGGCTATATAACAACTTTGTCTTTTGAAACATGGGCCCAACATGACTAACCTTTTCTCCACCATTGAGTACTGAGAGGGTCCCTGATTAAGGGAGACCTGCTTTTCTCATCCTTTTCCATCTCTGGGGTCATGGGGTGGCCATATCTCTGAGGAAAACCCCTCTAGGGGCTGTGTATTCTACAGAAGCTCAGGACCAGTCAAGACTCAAGGCACAGAATGGTTTTAGTGTTTCCTAATTCCTTCCTTTAACCTCCCCACCTCTCTCAAACTCTTGTTCAATGCCTCCACCATCTTTTGCCTGAAGGGTTTCTTATAGTTCTTCTACTTCCAAGTGAGTTTTAATACATTCTTTTGTTTCTTAAAGATGGACATAGTCATCCGAGGACACAAACATCCATGTCTTGCACTAAGGGAGGAACAATAGCCGCAGTTTGTGGTCTGGGCAAAGATCTGAGACACTGTTGGCTAATAGAACTTTTTGTAATTCTATGCATGTGCTGCCCAATACAGTAGACACATGTGGTTACTGAGCACTCAAAATGGGCTAAGGTGATTGAGGAACTAATTTTTTTTTTATTTAATTCAAATTTAAATTCAGCTAGGCACACAGGGCTCATGGCCACCATATCGGACAGAACAAAGCTGGGGCATTTCTTCCTCTCCATATCTGTTATAATAAAAGACTGTCCATCCAATTTTAGATTAAGATTTGTGGCCCACATTACTGATTTCTTCTGAAGTTGGAGGAATTTATGATGGTTAATTCATTTTAACACCAAAGAAAATCTACCATGACACTCCCCGTGTCTACAGAACAGGTTTTATAGAAACTGCCTAAGTTAGAGAAACCTGAGATATCATTCTGATTCTGGCCTCGGCAACCAACCTATTAAAACTCCTCTTATGGGAGGTGACAAGATGGCAGGGAAGTAGGAGGAGGCGCCCTTTCAACCTGTACCCTAAAGTGAGCTGATTACCTTCCAAAGAACTCCGATCACCCACGAAATCGGCCTGAGATCAGAATTATACACGTCTGGATCTCTACAGGAGCAAAAGACACCAGTGGGCAGGTAAAGCGGAGTGGGAACGTCAGACTAATATCAGAAGATAAACAAAAGGGGGAGGGAGCCATCAGAGGTGACCCATTGGAAAGTAATATCCCAATAGGAGAGTGCCCTGTGTCTAGGGACCAGCATTAACTTGCAGTCTGGCAGAAAGCACTCAAAAAGAGCAAAGGATCATGGTGGGGCATGGGGTGGAACTGTGGGAATCGGGGCGGCTAGGAACAGGGGCTTAAGTCCCCAGACCCAGGACAGCCACCCCTGGTGCAGAGCCAGAGAGAGTGTGGCGGAGAAACCAGGTCTTGGTCCCTGAGCCACCAGTGCGTGGGGTCCACTATCCCTGAGAGCGCCTGGGGTCCGGCTCCCGTGAGGGCCTGGGAGCCTTGCCAGCCAGCAGAAGCACAGCCTTTTTGCAGTCCCCACTCGAGTGCCATGCTATCAGAGTCCAAGTCGCGCCCCACGCCCTCCCCTGAGAGAGGTGCGCATAGGCGCCAGCCCTGTGCTCTCGGACCGGAAAGACCAGGCACTCCAGCCCGGGCCAGTGGGAAAATCTCAGTGTGCGATCCCTGCTTGGAACCTCTCTGGCGGTCTGGAGCTCCCCATACAGCCGCCGCTGCCATGGTTTTGGGTACAAGCAAAAAATCCTGCGTCCCCAGGGACTGCGACTCAGAACCTGCTCTGCCAGTGGCCAAGGGGGAATTTATTTGGGCTCTGCATCCAGACTGAGGCTTCTCTCTGAGAGGGAGGTCAGGGTGCAGTTTGCTTTCCTCTAAACCTACAAAAACCGTCAAAAGCGGTCAAGGCGAGAGAGAGAGAGAGAGAGAGAGAGAGAGAGAGAGAGAGAGAAGTGAACAAACATAAAAACTTCCAGAGAACAAAAGCCTGGAAAAACCAGTTTCCTCAGAGCCCATCCCCTTGGGGGGGGGGGGCAGGAGGACTTAACTCAGAGACTGAAAACCCACGTGGCAGGCCCCTCCCCCAGAAAACCAACCAGGAAAGAAAGAAAAAAAAAAAGAGAGAGAGAGAGAGAGAGAGACTACAAGAGAACCACCACCACTACTTCATAGGACAACTTTTATTTTTAATTCGTTCCCACTATTCTGGCTCATTTTTTTATATAGATAATTTTTTAACCTATTTACTATCACAGTGAGATGTCCAGTACATCAAATTCCATAATAACCTTCTAACCTGAACTTTTTGATACATACACCTGTGTTTTTCTTTTGCATTTCTATTTTTAAAATTTTTTTTTTTTTAAAGATTTTATTTTTCAGCGACAGAGGGAGAGCGAGCGAGCACAGGCAGACAGAGGCAGAGGGAGAAGCAGGCTCCCCGCCGAGCAAGGAGCCCGATGTGGGACTCGATCCCAGGACGCTGGGATCATGACCCGAGCCGAAGGCAGCCGCTTAACCAACTGAGCCACCCAGGCGTCCCTAAATTTCTTTTTTTTAATTTTAGTTTAGTTTATTCCTTTTTTACTTTTATTTTCTAATATTCATATAGAGTTAAACTTCAAAGTAATCCACTTTCCCCAATCAATGCTACCCCTATAGGTAAACCAATTTTTTTTTTAATTTTTTTTGGTAAACCAATTTTTAATCCCTCTTTATCTTAGGAAAGTTGAATCCTTTAACAAAGATATCAAGATACATCCAGGAAGAATCAACACAACCTTCCTCGCCCACACTGAGAATTTATAACCACTCTCCCATCTTTTTCTTTCACCAGTGTTTCTGTGTTTTTGTGTTTGTCCTGATAGTATATAAATCTTACACTTGGGGTTCTTTTTGACGAGGTTCTTCCTTTATTTGCTTATATATATATATTTTTTTTTCTCTTGTCATATACTTTTATCAGTCTTTTGGTTTGTCTGTTTTTGTTTGTATACTTCATAAACTTTACCTTGGGGCCCATTTGGGCTGAACCTTCTCTTTTATCTTCCCTTTCTTTCCTGTCTCTCTATCTTTTTTTCTTTTTCTTTTCTTTTTTCTCTCGTTTGGGTGGGGAATCCTGATTGCTCAGAAGTGTTCCATGGTGCACCTTGACTGCACCACGGTCAATATATCCAGCTACATCCATTCAGCCATCTCTCACCAAAATGACTAGAAGGAGGAATGCCCAACAGAAGAAAAATACAGAGGATAGGCCTTCTGCAACATAGACAACATGTAGGAAAGAGAATTCAGGCTAACAATTATCCAGGCAATAGCTAGGTTGGAGAAAGTCATGGATGACCAAACGGAATTGATTAGGGCAGAACTGAAAGCGACCACGGATGATGTTCACGATGTTAGGGCAGAGTGGAAAGCTACCAGGGTTGAGGTTCACAATGCTCTCAATGAGTTCCAATCTAATCTAAATTCTCTCAAAGCTAGGGTAACTGAGACAGAAGATAGAATTAGTGATCTGGAGGACAAACAGATAGAGAGAAAGGATCAGGAGGAAGCCTGAAACAAACAGCTTAGAAGCCACAAAAACAGAATCAGGGAAATAAATGATGCCATGAAACGTTCAACGTCAGAATTATTGGAATCCCTGAAGGGGAGGAGAAAGAAAGAAGTCTAGAAGATATAGTGGAACAAGTTCTTCATGAAAATTTTCCCAGTCTCACAAATGGAACCAGCATTCATGTACTAGAGGCTGAACGATCTCCACCCAAGATTATAGATTCCAGAAAAACATCAAGGCACCTCATAGTCAAATTGAGGAATCATAATTGTAGATATAATTTCTTGAAAGCTGCTAGGACAAAGAGGCTCCTTACTTACAGAGGAAAGCCCATCAGAATAACGTCAGACCTGTCCACAGAGACCTGGCAAGCCAGAAAGGGCTGGCAAGATATATTCAGGGCACTAAATGAGAAGAACATGCAGCCAAGAATAGTTTATCCAGCAAGACTGACATTCAAAATGGATGGAGAGATAAAGAGTTTCCAAGACCAGCAAGGCTTAAAAGACTATGCAACCACCAAGCCAACACTGCAGGAAATATTAAGGGGGGTTCTATAAAAGAGGAAAAATCCTAAGAATAGCATTGAACAGGAATATAGAGACAATCTACAGAAAGAAAGACTTCAAAGGTAACACGATGTCAATAAAAACGTATCTATCAATAATCACTCTCAATGTGAATGGCCTAAATGCACCCATAAAATGACACAGGGTTGCAGATTGGATAAAACGACAGGACCCGTCCATATGTTGTCTACAAGAGACCCATTTTGAACCTAAAGATACACCCAGACTGAAAGTGAAGGGATGGAGAAGAATCTTTCATGCCAATGGGCCTCAAAAGAAGGCCGGGGTAGCGATTCTTGTATCAGATAAATTAGATTTTAAACTAAAGACTGTAGTCAGAGATACAGAAGGACACTACATCACTCTTAAAGGGACTATCCACCAAGATGATCTAACAATTGTAAATATCCATGCCACCAATATGGGAGCAGCCAATTACATAAGAAAACTGTTAATCAAGATAAAGAGTCATATTGGTATGAATACATTAATAGTAGGAGATCTTAACACGCCTCTCTCAGAAATAGACAGATCATTGAAGCAGAAAATCAATAAAGAAACAAGAGCATTGAATGACACATTGGACCAGATGGACCTCATAGATATATACAGAACATTCCACCCTAAAACAACAGAAAACTCATTCTTCTCAAGTGCACATGGAACCTTCTCAAGAATAGACCACATACTGGGTCACAAATCAGGACTCAACCGATACCAAAAGACTGAGATTATTCCCTGCACATTCTC